AGGTTAAGCTTAAATTCGTAGTGCGATGACAGACCAATGACGCTGGGTGGGTTCGTCGGCTTTGTCGGCCCTTGCAGGCTTAGCGGGCTGTATAGGGCTTAGCGCTGCGCATCATCATGGCGACGTCATTCTTGGTGAGCATGCAGTTTGCTTGCAGCTGCTTAAAGCTCTGGATCCCTTGTCGAACTTTCCTCTATCACACATTGCTTTCTTGCAAGATACCCCAGGTCTTATCAATTGCATTCAGGTCTCTTTCTCAAATTCATTGACTACACAATCACCTTCATACCTAACCATGTTCTCGAGACAAGCAACTCAGAATGCGCGCTTTGCAGCACGGTGTGCTCGCCGCCCAGCTGCGCGGGTAGCCAACCCTCAGTTCCGCGCCCAGAAGCCCCGCTTCCAGTCCACCGAGTCAGCAACCTCCGGGAACGCGGGCGCCGGCTCACATGCCGCCATCGGTGCCGCTTCTGGAGCCCTTGCTGCAGTCACCGTCGGCTACATCTTCTACAGGCAATCAGGCGCCCGTGACGTTGTGGTGGCTTCCAAGACTGCCAAAGGCTACGTCAGCTCAGCTACACAGAAGATCAAGGAGCAGACACCTGAACCCAACGAGGCGCTGCAATGGCTACGCAACGCCGCGCAGAGCTACGCAGCCTTCATCCCCGGCGCCAAGGGCTACGTTGATTCTGCATTCGATGACCTCGATGCCATTCGCGCAAAGCACGGCAAGGAGGTCGACCAAATCGTCACCGAAGCCTACGATGAAATGCGCCAGGTCCTCGGCAATGGCGACATGAGCCTTGTTACCGCACACAAGACTTGGGACGTCATTACCAAGCACATGAGCCGCATCGCAGATCTCGCTGGCGACGCGTCGCAGCAGATCATGGACAACCACCCTCAACTCAAGGAGAAGGTCGGCGGTAACATCGACAAGCTCAAGGAGTACGGCGACAAGTATGGTCCTGAGGCTAAGAAGGAGGTCGATAGAACATGGAAGCAGATCAGCGACGTCGTCAAGACCGGCGTGAGCGCATCCAACATCGAAAAGATCCGCAGCATCGTACAAGAGAAGGTTGATAAGCTTAAGAAGATGGGTGACGAGGCCTGGGACAAGGGCATGGAGCAGGCTAAGCCCTACCTTGACAAGAACCCTCAGGTCAAGAAGATCGTAGAGGAGAACGCAGATGCGCTCAAGGGCGGAAACGTACAAGAGCTGTACGAGCGCGTCAAGTCTGCTGTCGAGAAAGGCGACACAGGTGACCTCGAGTCATACGTCAAGAGCGCTGCCAACAAGGCTAAGGATGCTGGTTTCGGTGACTACGAACAATACCTCAAGCAGATCCCTGGAGGCGACCAGATCATGCCCAAGTTGAGCCAGCTCCAGGATGTTGCCCAGAAGCACGGCGATGAGGCTCAGAAGCTCTTCCGAGACACCGTCTCAGAGATCTCCAGCATCCTCCAGAAGAAGGGAGATGAAGCGTCAAAGTTGGCCGAGAAGGCGAAGGAGGACTCGAAGAAATAAGGTTGTCAGAAGTATTCTCACCTGGAACCCTGAAGAGTGTTACGATTAGTCTACTTGTATAATAAGGCATCACTGGCGTTGAGCATGTTGAGCGAAAAGTATAACGAATTCTACATAATTACGTTTGATCCTGTACTGTTGGTCTCATTCCATGTCGTGGTGATCTCACCTTGGGCTAACTACTCGAACCATACTAGATCATCCGCACATGTGCCATAAAGCAGCGAGTGATGTTAGCACGATCTTCTGGTCCTGATGAGTAACAATCTGGTCAAGGGTCTTGTGTAGAAGTTCGGCGCGCAGGTTTCATTAGAGAGAAGTGCATATCGTATTTCATCATCGTAGTATGACGCGGTCGACAGATGATTTCACAAGTGAGTTCCTCTGACGACACGAGTTGTCTTGCGCAGCTCTATAGACACCACGTGAGACGTGGCATGCGTACCAGGAACCCGGTACGTACAATCGCCAGGCCCGCGCAAGAACTCACACCAGAACTTGCATCAAGCCCTGGAGGGATAGCATCTTGGTCAGATCGTCATCACATGCGCCACTCGATCACCCAAGTGGTGAGGCTGCAGTGAGACATGGGCGGGGATGCAAGCCCATCACTGCCTATATGCAGGAACTACTTACTATGCACACCGCACACCGTCTTGGGTTCTGGAATCCTCTATGCGGGGTGAGGTGGTCAGCGCGATGGTAGGTTGGACAAGACGTGGGCTTGCGGCAACATGTCATTCAATGCAGTAGCTCGCAGCCTAAAGTAAATCGTAGGCGGTGAGACGAGCGCGAAGAAAGTACGATATTCATGGTAAAAGACATGACACAACACAAGGCGAAATGCGTATTGTTAGGTTGCCGACAAGGTTGTTGCCAAACGACCCCGCGATCCGCTAAGGAAGTAAAGTGGGTCCGAGGTGAAAGAAAGTGGTGAGAGAAGCTGCGACCGCGACGTTCGTCCGCCCAATAGACCGGGCACGCTCCACTCGGTCAGCCAATGACGTAAACGCGCCTTCGCTGCTGCACCGCCCTCCCCTGACACCTGGCAGGCGCTACTACTCTATTTACTCCTCTCTCTCTCAACAAAACCCCCAGCTTCTACAACTTCTCACTCCAATTCTCCACTTCTCTCTACCAAACCCCTTTCTTGCACGTCGATCGACACCACTACTACTCCTATCCACCCAACTACTACACACTACACAACCGCAACCATGGGCAAGGTACGCGTTCCTGTGCTAACATGTACCCCGCCAGTACCCCGCTAACACGTGCATAGGCGAAGTACATCATGCTCGACTGCGACAACACGCTCGTCCAGTCTGAGCGTTTCGCGTTCGAGGCCTGCGCCGACCTCACCAACCAGGTCCTCGAGAAGCACAACATCTCCGACCGCTATACAGCCGAGTCATTGCTCGAGGACTTTGTCGGCCACAACTTCCGCGGCATGCTCAATGGCCTGCAGAAGAAGCACAACTTCAAGATGGACGACGCCGAGATGGAGGACTTTGTCGCGCAAGAACTCGGAGCCGTGACCCTCAAGCTCAGCCAGAAGGCCGTCGAGTGCCCCGGTGTGACTGAGCAGCTCAACAAGCTCAAGGAGCAGGGCTACCCCATGTCCGTCGTCTCTACTTCCGCCAAGAGCCGTGTCGTCGCCTCCATCGAGAAGGCCGGCATCGCCCACTTCTTCCCTCCCGAGCACGTCTACTCCGCCGCCACCTCACTCGACCCCCCTTCATCCAAGCCCGACCCCAAGATCTACCTATACGCTGCTGAGCAGCTCGGTGTCAAGCCCTCCGAGGCTATCACCGTCGAAGACAGCAAGAGCGGTGCCACTGCTGCCATGCGCGCTGGGATTCCTTGCATCGGCTACGTTGGCATCTACGGCATCGAGGAGGGCAAGGAGAAGATGGAACAGATGGCCAAGCTCCTCACCGAGGAGACCAAGTGTGCGGCCATCATGTACGACTGGAAGGAGTTCCCAGAGTGCCTGAAGAAGGTCGAGGCCAAGTTGTAAGTGCTTGGTCCGACACTGGGGAGCCGAGGAAGAGGAACATTTCACCCTGTCTCCCCGCCATTGCGGGTGAGCTTACGATCAGATTCACGACATCAATGACTACATAGATTCAGTAATGAAGATTTAGTGGACACAGTCCCATTCAAAACAGCTACCTGCTCTCTGCCGCTTCCTCTGCTGTGTTGATTGTTTTGTTTGGTGACGCAATGGTGGGCCCCGCGCCGTTCAGTGGGCAGGCGTTCCAGGCTCGGGTGACGGCCCAACGCTGCCCCGCTCCTCCCCACTTGAGACCCATCGTGAACTGCAAACTCCATCGCGAAATATCCCGAACATCGAACATTTGCCTTTGCCATCCCAGATCTCTAGCGCTGCATTCGCGCGAGGTCAATCTCTGCTGCTCACGTGCATGCAAGTAAGCAAATTTGAACGGCCACCGTGGCACTGGCCAGAGCCCCAACGCCAGCCGCAACACCCTACGGCCCGGCGCGCTCATCCATCAGCCCTATTATTAATGCTTGTCTGCTTATTGCTGACATTAACGAGCTTGTTGTGTCGACACAAGTGAACAGCCTGCAGCTCTCACGCGAATTTTCCAGCCGAATCACGCGATGGAGCCGCCGCCGCCCGTAGCCGCTTGAGCCTCACTTGCACCCCATTCAGTGGAAAACCCGACACCCATCCCCGCGAAGAACAATGGTCTTATACCAAAAAAGCTAAGAAGGTTACATTGCCTTCCCAGCATGAGAATTTGAGCTTGGATGGGCAGGTTATACTTCAAAGCACCTGTTTAACTTTGGCCTCTGATGGGGTGCATGCTCACATGCCTCGGCAAAACAGGCCGTCCGTCATCTGTCCATGTGTGCCTGCGCTCTCTGCGCAGCGCAACACCCAACAAGGCTCGTTGGCCGGCACATCCACGAGACAATATGGTCACAACCCACTGAATAGCTGCATACGATAATCCCATTGCCTGGCCAAACGTTCAACAACAGCAGCTGTTATCTTTGTTCCAGGAACAGCAGTTATCTGTATCCTAGGATCTGCACCTTGGCATCTGGGCGCTGCCTTCTTCCGCTGTAGCCAAGACATGCTTAGTGAAGCCTCCTTCCTATCTCGTCGACAGCTCCTTACACGAAGCTTTTGCTTCATCTAAAGCCACCAATGTCATACCCTGCACGGCATTCGTCCTCATCTACACGTTGCTTATGATCTCTACCGGCTGCCAATCGCGGATCTGTACCACCAGGTGTAATGGATGGTTACATGGTTACACGGATAGTAGCATCCAAAAGGGCAGGTATGGTGGCTACCTGCCGGGTTTGCCATAGGTGCTGCAGTATGGGTGCTGGCATGTCGAGCACCTCCGTGTCATAGGGACGCATTTAAGAGTGTGCGAAGAGCCCACGATGGTTCTCCATCGGCATCTTGCGCATCGTTCAAGTCGCAGTCAACATGTATCTACGCACCGCCCTTCTTTCCTTGTCCGCCCTTGCGGCGGCAAAGGAAATGCCCAAGGATGAGTTCAGAGCCGCACAGCTTTACGACTCTGGTATCAGGCACGAGAACAATGTTGCCCTCAAGAAGGTCGCAACCCCATTCCAGCATCTTCGAATTCTGTATTGACCCTTACCAGGAGTCATGGGCACGCCAGGAAGCTGCGGGCATGTACAACTCTGCCCAATACGCCGAAATCAAAGACAAGGTGGAGTGCATGAACGGCACCGCAATCGCCGGACAGGACGTCTTCCGATGCCAAAATGTCAGCCCGAGCACCATCATTCACGAGTTTCAGTCATTGATAAATCGGTATAGATTGACTTGCTTCACTTCTTGTCGCACGCCGAGCTCGGCAGCACTCGCGGTGTCGGATCTTCTTCATGGGGTAAGAGTTCACAGATCAAGTTGCTGAAATCTGCGCTGAACAACATTAGGCTGGACATCTGAAGATGGTCGCGAATTCGTTGCCATCGGACAACAAGATGGCGCTGCGTTCGCTGAAATCACTGCAGAGGGCAAGCTTTCGTACTTGGGTCGTCTACCCGCCTACTCTACGCCCAGCACGTGGCGCGAGATCCGTGGCCAGAACAACCTGATGATCATCGGTAGCGAGGCGGTCGGCCATGGCATTCAGATCTTCGACATGAAGAAGCTGATCGACATCGACCCTGCGTCTCCTGTCACCTTTAGCAATGCTAATGACCTCGTTGGCCATTTCAAAGGCCTTCCTAACGGCCGAACACATAACGTCGTCACAAACCCAGAGACAAACTTCATCTATGCCGTTGGTGCCCAGCCAAGGACTGACAAGTGCAAGTCGGGCATTATCTTCATTGATATCACCGACCCCTCAAAGCCAACAAGCCCGGGCTGGTGAGTGAGACATGTTGTTGGGGATGTGAGCATCACTGACTCAGAATAGTGCATCAGAGGACGGCTACGTACACGATGCGCAATGCCTCATCTACCGCGGACCAGATGCGGAATTCGAGGGCCATGAGATTTGCTACGGCTACAACGAGGACTCGCTTACGATCTACGATGTGACTGACAAGAAGGTCCCGGTCATCTTATCTAACACTTCTTACGAAGGCGCGGCATACACCCACCAGGGCAACGTTTTGGACCCCATGAACCAGCAGTTTCTTTTGCTCGATGACGAATATGACGAATACGACAAAGTGGGTCCAGCGATCCCTGGTCACCCCATCACGTATATCTGGGACATCTCATCCCTCCGTGCGCCCAAACAGACTGGACTGTACAAGAGCGGAGCAAAGGGTATCGACCACAACCAGTATGTCGCGAACGGCTTTGCTTACCAATCGAACTACGGCACCGGATTCCGCGTTCTGGATGTTCGCAGCATCCCTGACGACCCGACTGGTGCTGGCGTGAAGGAAGTTGGGTTCTTCGGTATGCAAATGTACGATCATCCTATCGATTCATCTATACTGACCTTTGCGCAGACGTTTACCCGGAGGATGACGACATGCCTGGCGGCGGTACCGTCGACTTTGTTGGCACGTGGTCGAGCTATGCATTGTTCAAGAGTGGTCACATCCTGATCAACACCATGGAACGTGGTGTTTTCATTGTCAAGATGCAGGAGGGGTTTGAGAGATAGATGGACAGGATCTCGTTAATCTGAGATTGCTCGCGGCAGGGCGAAGTTTAGAATTCATTGCAACTGTCGATCCCGGCTGTATCGTCGGTATCAGTGCCGCCTCGCGTGCACGACGATTGGTTCAATAAAGAGTTCCGGCACAAATGCACTCCCCCTCTTGATCCCGAATTAAACTTATCAACAATCATGTCCAGGCCGCTCAGAGCCCTGTATCAACCCTGCCTCGTACCCTCTAGCGGTCGCGGTATCACTGTTGCTCGCTCTTTGGGCTCTATTCGTTTACCTCCGAACCGCAACTAACCGCCAAGCTACACGCCTCCGCGCAGGATCTAGTCGCAGATCCGTGATATCGCCTCTTCTCGTTTCTTTCGTTCTGATTGTGGCGATGGCGCGCCAAGGGCTTGGCTTTGTCTGCACAGTCCGTTCCTTCCCAATCAAGTTGCGTCCGGCGTGGAACTAGAGGGCTCCGCCGAGCGACGCGGTTATTCTACCTTCCTCATCCAACACAGCATTGCGCAGCCAAGCAGACTTTCATCAATCGCGTCGCCTTCGCCCCCCAGCTCTACACCCGGCTACCCGTTTCCACGGACCCACCGCATGCCCTTACCTGCTCAATCGCGGTTCCTGAGCGACCATGAAGCACCGATGGATACAGCAGCTGCCTGTATCGGTTAGTTCTACAAGCACATGGTGGCCCATGAAGACTTTCTGGACCAGCCATATGGATACGAGGTTTAGTATATAGAGCCAGTCTGTACCTGTGACATATCCCAAGGCAACCTCCTCTTCTCCTGCTCATCTGCCACTACTATTCATCAAGATGAGGTTCGTTCCCTTCGTTGCGCTTGCTGCGCCTGTCCTCGCACAGTACGATGCGAAGCCAAAGCCTTCTGCAAAGCCCGAGAAGCCTCAGAGGCCCCAGTTGCCTGGAAAGCCTCACCCTCATGGGCCACCCAAGAAGCTTGTCTCTCGCAAGGACCTGATCAAGGATATCAAGCTCGAGGACCTTCTCGCAGGCTCCCAACAGCTTCAGACTTTCGCCGACGAGGCTGGTGGTAACCGTGCTTTCGGTAGCACTGGTCACAACGCTACCACTGAATGGCTGTACCAAACGCTCAAGGCGACTGGATACTACGATGTGTACAAGCAGCCCTTCGTTGAGCTCTTCACCGCCGCGACCACCAAGCTCACTGTTGCTGGAGAAGAGATTGAGGCCGCTTACATGACCTTTGGTCCCTCTGGAGATGTTACCGCCAACGTTGTCAAGGTTAACAACCTCGGATGCGCTGTTGACGACTTCCCAGCCGGAGTTTCTGGCCAGATCGCGCTCATCTCTCGAGGCACATGTCCATTCGCTGACAAGGCCGCCAACGCCCAAACTGCTGGCGCGGTCGGTGCTATAATCTACAACACCGAGCCCAACACACCTCTTTCTGGTACCCTCGGTGGTGATGGCGACTACGCTCCCGTTGTTGGCATTACCAAGGAAGCTGGAGAGGGTATTGTAGCCAAGCTCGGCAACGGCACAGTTGAGGGAACCCTCTTCATTGATGCCATTCGCGAGAACCGCACCAACTACAACGTCATCGCCGAGACCAAGCAAGGTGACCACGACAACGTGCTCATGCTCGGTGGTCACACCGACTCCGTCTTTGCCGGCCCCGGTATTAACGACGACGGATCTGGTACCATTGGTACGCTCATGACCGGTCTTGCCCTTACTAAGTACAAGATCAAGAACGCCGTCCGTCTCGGATTCTGGGGTGCAGAGGAGTTCGGTAAGCTGGGCTCTTTCTACTACATGAAGACCATCAACGGTACCTTCGGTGGTAACGCAACCGAGGCCAACAAGATCCGCGCCTACCTCAACTTCGATATGATCGCATCGCCCAACTACGTCCTCGGTATCTACGACGGTGACGGCAGTGCGTTCAACTTCTCCGGCGCCGCTGGATCTGACACTATCGAGAAGGACTTTGAGGAGTTCTACGAGGAGCGTGGCCTTGCCCACGTACCTTCTCTCTTCACTCTCCGCTCTGATTACGCTGCTTTCCTCGAGAACGGTATTCCTTCAGGTGGTCTGTTTACCGGTGCTGAGGTGCTGAAGACTGAGGAGGAGGCACAACTTTTCGGTGGTGAGGCTGGTGCTCCGCTCGACGCCTGCTACCACCAGGCTTGCGATACCATCGACAACCTGGCTCTCGACGCTTACCTACTCAACACCCAGAGCATTGCCAACTCAGTTGCCAAGTACGCCCTGAGCTTCGAAGGTATTCCAAGAGCCAACATGACGCTCCGCAAGCGTGGCGCGGAGAGGAGCAGACTTATGTCGAGGTTCGATGATGGCGGACATGCTCACCATGGCCAGACATGCGGTGCTGGAAAGCACACTATCTGAATGTTGTATTAGTATAGATTTGGGTGGATGGTTGATGTTGTTGATGATACCAATGATGCGATGATGCTGTAGAAGTAGAAAAGCCAATGTAATAAAACATTTCAAACATTACCGTGTCCTGTTGCTTTCCGATGTTAATGCTTGCACTGCACAGTCTCACGACCGATCCACACCGTTAAGCGCTCTTAGTACCTCGAGTGTCGGCTTCGATAGTCAGGAGCTCTTTATTTGGCCTTCAGCTCGAGACCGAGAGTGTCACGCCGTTTAACTCAGCATATCACATGCCCTTCTCCTGTACTTAGTTCGAAGCAGAAATCACCATCCAATCTCCACCTCTTCCTCTCTATAAACCTAGCACTGTCCTCAAACGCACATTCCGTCTGAACCAATCCTCCACCCTGACACTTACGAAAAGAACACATCCGCAGTTCGAACAAGCATACCAAGCATCTCGCGTATGCATCAAAGTCTCGCCAGAACAGAAGCAGAATAGAACGTAGGGCTTCGCGGGGCGGAGACACGAGGTAGAGCGGAAAGCGCACACCTTGATGGCGACGGAGTGGACGCTATGCCATTTTGCTGTTCCCAAGGCGCGGAATATCTTGAGTACCGGAGACTGGATGTACACTACGCCATCTTGAGATGATTTGGAATGAACAGGGCGGTGTGGGCTCAGGATCGTGATGTAGATGTTGGGCTGCGCGGTGGGAGGAGTAGTTCACGTGCGTGTTGTCTACTGTGTGCCTACTTGGGCAGCTGTTCGGGCAGTGAAGAACCCGCAGCTTGGCTTCTGGGCGTCGCTAAATATGTTGATCGTGAACTCGGCGATGCAGTCGAACTCTCGTTGGCGTGTCTTGCAGACTAGACTATCGTGGCTTGCGCTCATGATTACTCTTTGGTCCGGGCATCACAGGAATACGACAAGGCGTGTACGTCACTAACACTGAAGTTAGGTACCTGCATTTGGCTGACCGGATTGTGTGGCTTTCAAAACAGAGTTAGTGGCGTATATAGTGTTGAGCCAGTGATGGGCGAACAGTAGGGCTATTGTCTAGATAGAGTCGTGGCGGGGCGCGTTCTGTCTGGAAGAGGAACAATCATCGGAGCGTTTGCTGCTGCGTCAAATCGCAAGCTGGTCTCGCCACGATTCGAATTGTTCCCAAATTCGTAGCCTATGACGATGCGATATTGATCGGTAATTTTTTGAGTTGTCACAATGGGTGCAAACCGGTCGGGGCTGTTGATCTCGAAACGCTGGGTCGCAATGATCGCCTGGACCCGCATACTAACGCATGTCGCAAATCCCCCCGACCTCTTCGACGATCAGCGACAAGGCCTTCGATATGCACCATCCTGTTCCCGTCTCATTAAAAACAGGATATCGACTCCGCACATCGTGTTGCTCGGGACGGTGCACATTTGAATTTTCGCTCGGAGGCACTTCCCCGGCCTTGCTCAAGTGGCAATCTCGTCTAGCCCACTCGGTGCACGTTTCATCCGCAGCCATGTTCCTTGCGGCCGCAGCCTACCAATCCTCCGACGTTCATCCAAAGTCGGCGACCCTGCTAGGGGGCGCCCAGGCGCCGTTGCTAAAGCTGAGGGCGTCGAGGTCGAATGGCCTGAATTAATATCCAACCTTGGAAGTAGCCCAGGACAAGGCAGGACACACGTGTGCACGGCACGCAAGACCATGGCAGGCGGCGCGTCCGCACCCACACTAGTTTGGCGAACCGCCGTGTGTTAAACCGAACTTATGGAAAATGAGGAGACGATGAAGTCCAGATCGTTGGGTCTGCATTAACCATGACAGGTGCAGCTTCACGGATGCAACGGAGGCCCACAACTGTATAGGAAGGCAGTACTCGAGGCTTCAATCGCATCACCTAGTGAAGCAGAAGGTGCGCTGGCCGTAGCAGCTGGCAGTATAAGGGTTAAACACCACGTACCCCTAGCAATAGTTCTCATGCGATGCAGTCTATTGCAAGTTTGCCTGAGTCCATCAAAAGCGTCGCCGGAGAGCAAATCACATCACGCGGAAGAGTCGCCATACCTACCGGTAAGCCAGCAGCTGCTAGCACCTCAACACCTGGGCATCGTCGTGAGCGCGGTAAATCCCTTCGACGCCACTAGGAAACTTGACAGGCATCAGACCTGGACAGCTTGGAAACAGCACCAACTTTGCCGCCGCGCGTGTCAGAACAGCTCTCTGGATCTTGCACTCTTCACCGCCATAATTCACGTTGCCAGATATGGACTACCAGTCCATGAATAACATATCACAGTTAAGGTACTGCTCCCCGTGGTTCTCCAGTTGTTCAAATGCATGTGTGCATCGCCTGGAGGATGCGCAATAATCGTGCATCACCCCGCAAAAGGGATGCCCTTCCCTGTCAAGCGAGCATTAGCGTTCCAGCAGGATAGATCCCGTTCCGTATGCAGGTCGGACCATTACGATCCAGCAGCACTGCTGTTACAGGATTAGTGGCACGATTCACGAAAGGATCGCTCGTTTGCCTTCCGGATATCCACCCAAGCTTGACGCCCAACGAATGGGATCTGTCCTTCTCGAACACAGGGCTAATACGCCACTTTCTGTCGAACTCTATTTCGACTCGAGGGTCTGTCAAGTGTTCGCTTCATCTCCTGAAAACCCCCCTAGCTGCCGTTATGGATCAGTCGGTCTGGACAAAGAATGTGAAGGGTCTTCGCTTGTGTCATAACGGCTCACTCTCGACCGGTCGCACATAGTATACAACACCACGTTCGCTAAGTTTGCGACGTTCATTATCAGGCCACCATCGTTCCACACATCTTTTCCACGCTGGCTCAGCATGAGTAACGAATATCATGATGATCCGTCGTTCCAACCATGGGGCCCATTCATCTCAGATAATTACAAGAATGAGCCCATCACGAAAGCAGACATCATCATAGCCTCCGTCGTGTGGGGACTGACATTACTCAATGTCATCCTGGCCCTATGGCTCATTGTCAAACAAACAAGAGGATCGCGATCACCGCTCAGGAGCGTCTACGTCTGGATGATATGGCTGGAACTTATTGTCTCGTTTACCATGGGCCTTGAGAGCTTTTTACACTTGCTCAAGTACATAAGACCAAGTAGGTAGTGACGATGTGGAGCTTTTGAGATTATGCTAACCACCCCAGGCTTCGCGTTTTACTTCACCATCTTGTTCTGGTGGTGTATCCAGGTTCAGCTGCTTTTGCAGATTATCATCAACCGTATCCGTGTCATCGTGCCTGATCGACGGCGTTCGAGATGGATCATGATTAGCACTGCGGTTTTCGTCACTGTTATCAACATCAGTGTCTTCAATGTCTGGATACCAGCGAGGTTACAAATCAACTCGAAGTAAGTTACTTTCCTGGTAGCGTGCATCAATGGTTGTCGGAATGGGCTGGACGATCGGCTGGGTTCGTCTGGCTGGTTCGTGGTGGAACGACATCTGCGAGACCCAATCGTACCAAGCATTAGACTGACGATCCAACAGGTACCACCTCATCAACGAGTACTGGGACCGGATTGAAAAGGGTCTCTACCTCCTCGCCGACGCGGCGTTGAACTGGTACTTCCTAAAGACTGTGAAGCAGAACTTGATCAACAACGGCCTCACAAAGTACAATAAGCTCGTTCGTTTCAACCAGCAAATCGTGATGGTATCACTTCTTATGGACGTCATGATTATCGCCGCTATGTCGATACCAAATTCCTTTGTGTAAGTGTTACTCGTTGACAGAAGCCAACCTCTGACCTTTACTAACCCACCTTCTTCCAGATACATCCAATTCCATCCTCTCGCCTACCTAGTAAAACTCAACATCGAAATGACAATGGCCAACCTCATCAAACGCATCGCAATCTCGACATCGCGCAAGACAGGCATGGCATCCATTGCCCACGAGTTCAAGTCCTCGTCCAACCAATCCACCACCGGTCACCGCACCACCGGCACAAATCCGCACAAAGCACGGGGTTCGATTCACGAGCTCGCCAGCTTTGCTTCCTACACCGTCGATACAAAAGCAAATGCCGAGCAAGATGGGCAGCGTGTCATTAGCTTCGCCCCGACAGGGAACCAAATCAAGGAGACGAGAGAGGTCATCGTGCATACTGAGCCGAACCCGTTTTACGAGCGCAGAGGCTCGGAAGTGGAGATCACAGCAGGGCACGGAAGGAGACAGTCTCACGGCGTTGTCATTGAGGAGAGGGGACTAGGCAGGCAGAAGAGTCTAGAGAGTATAACTGAGGGGAATGAGAGTATGAGGAGTGGGTCAGTACCCAAGCGACTGATAGAGGATAGCGACGATGAGGCAGCGCTTGTGCAACAAAAGACTTGGGGATGGCCGAGGCGGCCGAGTTGAACGTGCGAGCGCTGTTGAAATGTCAAACTGTTTTGTGTTTATTTAGCGTGGGTTTGGTAAAATAGACATTGTTTCCGCACTTTAGATGTGCGATAGAACGATAATTATAGACATTGTAGAGTTGAATATACCAAATCAACCGTTGGTCCGAAGAAGGAGCGAGACACGTAAGAGTACACAGCTGTGGTACCGTACCTAAGTACAACTTAACATGACGTGGCGCTGAAATGCATGACTGTCATCTATGTCGGAATGCGCCATCGGGGTGATGGAAGAGGCTGTAGGCATCTATTGTGTCAGTTCAGTCTCATGAGTTGAGCGAAAGCAGATGCGGATGCCGTGGACTTGGCTAGATCTGTAGGTAGGTAAGCTCGCGATACACGTGACAGCACCACGTGTCGCGGCCTGGACTGGACGATGCTCGAGCAGAAATGTTTCTCGAGCGGAGACTATCCGCACATCGGAGTTCGCTGCGATGGAAAGTTGCGGGTAGAAGGGGGATTCTCACGTTGGTTCCCCGGAGCGACGCCACGATCTTCCCCGCACTTCTCAGCGAGGAAGGTTTGCCGACCAGGTACACCACGGTGGCTTGGCATGCTACACGCGTATACGGATTACACCAAGATGGTAATCCGTTCACTCAGCTGATGACATGTCGTGACCCCTTTAACCGTGTTCAAAAGATTGTGTTTGTGCTGTAGTTGTCAGCTATTCTTCATCTTTGTTGCACATTACTGTCTGCTCACTCAATTCCTTACCTACGTCATCCAGCAAGCCACAAACATGGGAGTCGGCGACACTTCAATCCGCTCCAGCGAGCGTCCTGAGGCCGGCAGTGTCAACATACCAGTCGGTGTATGGCCAACGTCGTCGACAAACGAGTCCGTCGATGCACATAAGGTCGCCAATGAGGTGATCACACGGTTCAACGATGCACTTGCGAAAAAGGATCATGCGGCTATCGCCGACCTCTTCTCCAAAGACAACAGTTACTGGAGAGATCACCTAGCGTTGAGTTGGGATCTTAGGACGTCGAAGGGTAGCGCAGACATCAAGAAGTACCTGGATTCCAGCAAAGTGCAAATGGAAAAGATTGAAGTGGACAAGAGCTCAGACTACCGCGCGCCAAAGTTTGGAGCGATCGATGTTCTAGGCGATATCACTGGTATCAACTTCTTTGTAACTTTCGAGACGAGCCTCGGGCGTGGCGAGGGTGTCATGAACCTAGCCGAAGACAATGGACAATGGAAGGTGTTCACGCTGTACACCTTGCTGAAGGAACTTAAAGGTCATGAAGAGCCATTGGGTCACCGAAGGACAAAGGGTGTGAAGCATGGAGGAGACCCGAATAGGAAGACGTGGAAGGAGACGCGTGATGCAGAGAAAGAGGAGATCGACCCGACAGTGTTGATCCTTGGAGCCGGGCAAGGCGGGCTTACAGTCGCTGCGCGTCTACGGATGCTCAACGTCCCCGCGTTGATCGTCGACCAAAATGAGAGGGTTGGTGACAACTGGCGCAAGCGATATCGGCAACTGGTACTCCACGACCCAGTATGGTACGACCACATGCCTTACGTGCCCTTCCCAGCACATTGGCCAGTCTTTACTCCTAAGGACAAGCTGGCGGAGTTCTTCGAGGCGTACGTGAACCTGCTGGAGCTCAACGTATGGACTTCGACAAGCCTCAAATCAACATCGTGGGATGAGAGTAAGAAGCAGTGGACCGTGACTGTCGAACGCCGGAAACCCGATGGGAGCACTCAGACACGCACATTACATCCGAAGCACATTGTCCAGGCGACAGGCCACTCCGGCGAGAAGAACTTTCCCCAGATCAAGGGTATGCAAGACTTCAAAGGCGACCGCCTGTGCCACAGCTCCGAGCACCCAGGCGCGAATCCCGAGTCGAAGGGTAAGAAGGCTGTGGTAGTAGGATGCTGCAATTCAGGCCATGATATCGCGCAAGACTTCTTTGAGAAGGGATACGACATCACCATTGTACAGCGCAGTACAACATGCGTTGTCTCTTCCGAGGCTATCACCGACATCGGCAACAAGGGTTTGTACGATCAAGACGCACCGCCTGTCGACGACGCCGACCTGACTTTCTGGAGTCTGCCAAGTGAGCTTCTGAAAGCACAGCAGATCAAAGTCACCAAGATCCAAGCCGACCACGACAAGAAAATGCACGACGGTCTTCGCGCGGCTGGCTTCGGTCTTGACAGTGGACCGATGGATTCAGGCCTTCTTATCAAGTACTTCCAGCGCGGCGGCGGCTACTATATCGATGTAGGCGCATCCCAGCTTATCATCGATGGCAAGATCAAAGTCAAGCAAGGCCAAGAGATTGCGCAGATCTTGCCAAACGGTATCGAGTTCGCGGATGGTGATAAGCTGGAAGCTGATGAGATCGTATTTGCGACTGGGTACCAGAACATGCGCACGCAGGCGCGAAAAATCTTCGGCGATGAAGTCGGGGACCGCGTCAGCGATGTATGGGGTTTCAACGACGAGGGCGAGTTCAGGACGATGTGGCAGAAGAGCGGTCATCCTGGTCTGTGGTTCATGGGTGGCAATTTGGCACTGTCGCGATTCTACAGTAGGGTACTGGCGTTGCAGATCAAGGCTGCCGAAGAAGGCATGATAGAAGATGGCGAAGGCTCGAAGGCGCGGCTGTAGTGATATGTAGCTGCCGTAGATTCAAGAAAGGGGCCGCGGCCGTTCAACGCACCTCCCTCAAGCTTCCTCCGAGTTTTGCCAGTTTCGGATTTAGCGCGGGGCATGTCTCCACTCGCGCTGTCTCAAAATGCACAAGCTTCAATCCTTCAACATCATCTGATCCTAATTCATACTTCGTCATACGTGCACTTTAACCCAAGTTTTCTTCAAACACCATGACTTCGAAACCCCAAGTCATCCTCGTCGTCGGCGGAACGTCCGGAATCGGATACGCCACCACGCTTTCCATACTTTCATCAACTTACCTACCACTGAACGCGAAAGTAATTGCGTTTGGGCTTATAGATTCGACCATCAAGCTTGAATTCACGAAGCAGCAGAGAGAACGTCTCAGAATAGTCGAGGGCGATGTCACAGTGGAAGAAGATCGCGAGCTAGCGGTCCAGACGTGTTTCGACCACTTTGGAGGTCTCGATACTCTGGTGTACTGTGCAGGTGTTATTACACCAATCCAAAAATTGGAAACGGTCGACATCCAAGCGGTAAAGAGAAGTTTTGACATTAATGTTTTTGGCGCGATGAGTATGGTATGTACCACCTTGACATACTACACTGCTCATTCCTAATGCTGCATGACATAATGTAACGCCCTTCATACGCTAATGGTCTTCAGGTTCAGCTCACGCTCCCAAAGCTCCGTGCTTCGCGGATAGCGCATCCTCATAACGCTGGCCGCGGCAAAGTCATAATCCTCTCTTCGGCCTGCGATGACACAGTATCCTACCATGGATGGATGCCTTATAGCACTACCAAAGCCGCGTTAACCCGGTTTATCTCTTGTCTCGCACACGAAGAGCCACTGCTTAGTGTACAGGGCGTATACCCGAAGTTAACACGAACCAAGATGATCGATGGACTAGTCGAAGGGAAGTATCGGGGCGTTATGGCGGACCACGAGATCGAGAGGTTCAGGATTTGGGATGAGATGGGTGATGAGATGGTGGAACCCCCTGAGCTCTGTGGAGAGGCTGTCGCTAAATTGGCGTTGGGATTGTTCGAGGGCGGGAAGAGCGGAGAAACATTGTATTACGACGAGCATGTTCCGCACAAGATTGCGGGGACATAAACAGTGGGAGTAAGGTGTGGAATACATGAAGACATATGAACATATTACTTTCTCTGGCCAGTTTATTGCTTTCACGTTGTCTGCCATTTGATCCGAGCTTGAAGTATTCACTCTGGCCGGTCCAAAACCCCGCCACACTAGTACAAACTGTAAACATTACACTGAGTTGAACAACCGATACCAGGCTTTCTCCATCACACCAGGCACAGTCAAATATGGCAGAAGATCAACTCGTGTCTGCACCACGCAGCGCGATTATGAGCGACGATATTGCGGACGCTGAGTGAGCAGTCCTTTGGATTTAATCTCAACTCACTAACATGATACAGTCTCGATGACTTCTTCAAGAGCATTTATTCCGGCCTTCCTCCAGAGCTGCGCTTGATCATCTATGATGAGCTTCTCACTGAAGATATGATGCACGACATGGCTAGCTGCGCGAGTCCTACCGCTTACGCCTATCCGCTCAACCACAGCACGTTCATGTACAAATCAACCCCTCGTTTCCTCAACCCGCGGATCTTGGATAGCTCTTTCGCGACCGAGATAGTCAAGGCATTCTATGGCAAGTATACTGGTTTTGAAGTCAAGCATCCGCTACGCATCGCGACTCTTCTCCAACGAGATTTCTTCAAACTCGGATATCACGTCAAACTCGCCAACTCTGTCCTCCGCGGTCTCACAGTCGACGGCTGCTTGCTTCCCCATAATAAGCACTTCATCAATGTCAAGCTGCTTCCTACCCAATTTGCACCGCTGTTCCACGCGCAGCAGCGCCTGGCTACTGGTTTCCATCTCACCATTCGTCTATGGACCGACAATAGTTCGCTCTACAATGCAAAGGCGCACAACGCCCAAGGCCTGGCTCTACGTCGCACTCTGCAGGCTCTCAAGCCAGTTTTTGCGAAGCTGATCGCCAGCTACTCATAGCGTAGTTTTGGAGGTTGCCCACACGCACAAAATTACGTTAGACATGGTACTGGCAGAGAGATCGTCGAGTAGCCTGGCTCATGAAATCTATAACTGGTGTTGTAAGTTGCTAGACACATATTCTTTACGCATGTAGAACGCGCTAACAACGCATAGTTTGAAGACCGACACATACTTTCCACAACAGTATTAAAGTTTATCCGATAGGTGCGGAAATGCACGAGTGAGTAGAGAATGGAACAAGCAGATATGAGATTAATGTAAAGGACTGAGGCATTAATGATGAACGCGCATATATCGAGAAGTACAGCGGTTGGGTATCTGGAATCAGACTGATGACGTTCCTCATCAGCTCAGTCAAGACTGACGACCTACTCTGTCATCCTCAGTGACCTTCACGATCACAGCCCCAATACCCGGCCCTTTACCCCAAACACGATGCGCTTCCGGAACTTCTTCCAACGCCCACATCTTCCTGATTGGCACCCGAATAGCTCCGCTCTCCAACATTTTGAAAAGGGCCACTAACTCCGGCTTGAACGTCTTTTGATCGCGATCAATGTAGTAAAAACTCGTCCGGTAAGGGCAAAAGGGAACCATGCCTCTTGCGAGTAGCTTTATAACCTGAGGTGGCTGACTACGAGGTTTTCCACCGGTGAGCAGGTCGAAGTTACCACCGTAACCCACAAGAAGACCTCCCTTCGCCAGGATGTTCCAGCTATCGTCCCAAGACTCGAAGCCAAGAGCATCGTACACGATGTCTGCGCCACCCACGTCTTTCATGGCCTGCATCCAGTTCTTGTCGGAGTAGACGAAGGGCATTGCACCCGCTTCGCGGATAGCTGCGTGATTGACGGCCGATGCTGTCCCATAGACTTCCGCACCTTGCATCTTGCAAAGGGTGAGGACGGCAAAACCGACACTGCCGCTGATACCGTGGATGAAGACGCGCTGGCCAGCGGAGATCTTAGCGGCGCGATAGGCTAGCCCGTAGGCCGTGTTCCAATCTAAGACCAAGGCAACTGCCTGCTGCAGATCGAGTCCTTCTGGCACGCTAACGAGATGTTTCTCGGGTTGGTTGCATAGTTCGGCTTCCGCATCGTATTTTGTGAGACAAGCGACGAGGTCTCCAGCCCGGTATTTTGTGCAAGCCGATCCATTTTGGTGCACGCGGCCGATAAGCGCATAGCCCGGCGTCAATGGTGCTTTCCTTTGCATCGGGTAGGCACCTTGTCGCATGGATATATCTGCACCGCCCATGCTGGCGTAGAGCACTTTGATTTGGACTTCGTTGGGGGAAGGCGCGGGGATGGGGGCTGTGACAACCGACACGTTCTCAGGGCCGCCGAACTCTGAGATCAGGACTTTGCGAACGGGTGTAGACATCTTTTGTTTTGAGTTGAAATCTGGTTAGCAATTTTGTGTATCGTCCTATCTGGGATGCAATCGATGGTGTTCGAAGCGCAATGTTGATGGAAGCTGGAATGATGGGCCCTGATGACTGCTGTTGCGCGCACACTTATGCCTATCGAGCCTGGCAGTACAACAAAACTTGCGACGCCCATGGAGGCGGAGTATGGGCTGATGCGCTCTCATCCTCACTGTGAAGGTGGGATGCGGAGAGTTCGTGGCTTCGAGATGCAGGCCTGACGCTGAGTGCGGAGAGACTGGTGGTCTCCTCGGGGAGATAATCTGCCCGTCCCACCGAAGAGGTTAGTGACTTACCCTTTTAGGGGTTAGCCTCAGTCACTGACGGGGGATGATTGCCCAGGCGGGATCCATCCACGTCAAAAAAGGCTTTCAGCTCAGACTGACGCCTGGGAGCTTATGCACGTTTTTGGTGCAATGCGCGCGTGGACCCCACGTGTGGAATGTTCTCTCAGACCTTTGAGAAGACCTTGTGTGAGCTCATGTTCAGTGCATCGTCATCCTCACCAAAATAGCTCCCTCTCAAACAAAAGATGGTATTCGGATATCGTCAAAATTGGCATTGCTTTGACCCTATCTCTTCAACGCATCTTTCTTTCCTGCCTTAATACTTTCCCTTCGCAGCTTCTTTGATAATATCTGCTGCCTTCTCCGCTGTCGCATACACAGTGGTCATGATGTGAGAAGCCGGAAGAATGGGCATGACACTGGCATCCACGACCCGCAGGCCGTTCACACCGTAGACCTTCAGCTCTTGATCTACAACACCGCCATCCTCTCTAGCACCCATCTTGCAGCTGCCCGCCGGGTGGTATAGCGTCGATGCGGTGCTGTGAATGAAAGCATCGATGTCCGCAGAGGCGGTGACATTGTTGCCTGGAACAGCCTCGAACGGATTGAGCGATGCAATAGATGGCGTGGCAACGAATTTGCGAGCCCAGTGCACACCTTCGCGCAGGAGTGCGGTGTCGACTTCGTTACGGAGGAACCCTACATCTGCGACTGGGCGATCGAACATGCTGGATGAGTTCGCCTTTACGCTTCCACGCGAGTACGGATGCTGAAGTCCGAGCACCACGACGCCGTCGGCCCAGATGATCTCCATCATCGCGGAATCGTTTGCTTGGAGCTTCTTGTTGAGAGAAGCAAACTGTGCCTCATAGCCTCGTGCGACTTCAGCGGGGGTATCAGCCGGGAGAGAGGCAGATGATCCACCTGCGACTGCTTGAGCCAAGATAGATTGCGTGGCGTTGGAATAGGTTTGAAGTGGCAGGAAGAGAAGGAAGTCACCGGTCGGGGAGGTTAGTGGGCCGGACTTCTCATTGTCGTACTGCTCGCGAGCTTGAGCGGCGAAGGTAGTGTTTGATGCCAGGGTGTTCGTTAGAACGCTAGTGTTGACTGCGCCAATGTCAGTATCTCCTCAGCTAGACCATATAACGGCCTACTTACGGACGTTCACCACAGCGACGGAAAGATGGTCGTGCAGGTTGTATCCGACGGCCGGAAGATCAACGACGGTGGTCACATTGATGGATTCGAGCAGAGAGGCTCCGCCAATTCCAGAAACCTGCAACAATTGGGGTGTATGCAACGAGCCAGCAGCGAGGATGACTTCTCGCTTGGCCTTGGTCTGTTGACTCTCCGCATCTGCAGAAGTCGAGAACTCAACACCAGTAGCCTTGACCGTGTTCGTCTCATTGCAGCTTTCCGTAAGGACGCGCATCACAAGACGGCCAGTGAGAAGATGATAATTTGGGCGCGGTTCGGCAGATGCATAGTAAGCTTCTTCTGCGGAGGAGCGTGTCCAGTTCATCGGGACCATGTTGTGCGGGCAGAAATAACCGCCGAAGGCATTCCCAGTCGCCTGGTCATTGATGGAGATTCCCAGCTCCTTGGTAGCTTGTACGAGGTTTTCTGAAATAGTCATCAGTATCTTGCCGTATGAAAATGGTGCGTCAAACTCACTAGTCGTTGGCCAGAAGAAAGGAGAGTAGGTTACTTCCATGTATCCTTCGTCGCCATGGTATTCGGGGTTGACCTGAATGTCGTATTCGGCTTGGATCTCAGCAGTTGGTGGTGTGAATTTCTCGTTCTTTACACTGGTTAGAAAGTATCAAAGAACTGTAGAAAAGAACAAACCTTTTTGAAGTACTTCAGGAAGGTCTCAAAGTTCCAACCTTCGTTTCCCAGAGTCTCCCACCCATCGTAGTCAGATTGTGAGCCACGATCGAACACCATGCGGTTCAACTTTGTTGACCCGCCCACGACCTTGCCTTGTGGAATAGAGACAACGCGGCCGTCTAGTGCTTGGTCCGGAGCATACGAAGTGTTCCAGTCATACTTCGTTCCTACAGCACCGCCTGCAAGACCTGGAATGGTGACGTAGTCCTCGTTCTGGTCGCTGGAGACAAATCAGCAACTTGATGGGCGTGGTATTCATGAGACTTACAGATCGCCGGCCTCGATCACGAGTACTGTCACATCTATAACAGGACGACGTTAGTATTTTCCGTAAACCGGGTTACTGTGTAAGCCTACCCTTATCCTCGGAAAGTCGATTGGCAACGGTAAGACCCGACGCGCCGGCGCCTACGATGACATAGTCGTATTCTGGAAGAAGGTCCTCCGCTCTCGAAACGAGCTGCGCATTGGAGAGTGGATGTGCGAAAAGACCAGTCGCAGAAAGCGCGACAGTTACTCCGAGACTCAAAAGAGAAGGCATGATCACAGCGTACAACAGCAATTGTGTCTGTCGTCCTCACAGAAGAGTACTTGCGTATATGTACCCAGAGAAAGTCGAGGTAACCGTAATAACACCGGCGGTCGGGCCGCCCGCATCTGCCGATGTGTTGAACAACACCAAGGGCCCAGCCGAGACCAGTCCATGATATTCGTCAACATATAGCGCATGGCGCGTTGGCGAGTTTCCGATTTATAATGGTTCGGCGGCTTTTATCCTGTGTACGCGATAGTTTTCAGGCAAAAGCAGATTAGCGGAGGCGGAGGCTGACGCCAGTAGATCCTCCGACCTTATCCGGGGAGTGAGCCGTATTGGCGTTTTCCCGGGACCGCTGTCTATGTGCACGGTGTGGCTTGAAGGATCGGCATGATGAAGCCGGTAATCCATTGGTTCGCTGCATCGGTTCGGTGCTTCGCTGGAAGCGGGCTGTGTTCAGTGGCTTGAGGGCGATTATGTCGTGCCTTGTACGAGGGCGTTTATCGGCCCTGTCCGATATCTGCGGGATCTTGCTGTCGTGTTGCGGCGCAGTTGAGTGTATATCACGTGTTTTCTGCGGTAGTGGACCTCGGCCCGGACGGATCTTGCCCAGGGGGGCTCGCTTGCAGCTTGCGCGTTGTCGACTTGGAAACATCCGATGCAAATGCGCGATACAACCGCGCCAATCTTGCAATACGAAGTCTCAGCCTGTATGAGACTGCCGATGCGATATGGGAAACCGAGCGATGCAAGCTTTGTTTCGCGTTAAGGTTTGGAGATGGATGTCAAGTTACGGGAGGCCTTTCGAGAGTAGCGCCCCTACACACGCAGTGCACTACAGGTGGCTATGTCATCGCTATCGCCCAAGGACTAGACTAATGTTTGATGGCATCCATGTCCACTACGCAATCGTCATATTCGAACTCGAAGTTGCGTCGCGAGCCACCTTGGGTGGCCCTAGTTCAAAACGAATTCAGATTGATAGTTAATCATCTAGCCAAAAGAAAGCCTTACATGGCAAGTGTGTTTACTCATTGTCGTGTTCGCTGTAGCGCACTGTAAATCAATGTGATCTCAAGTGCTCAGTATTGACTGACTACCCTACGAGACCTGTCTGCAGAGGTGAAGAACAACCCTAAAGACCAAGAGCACGAGACAGCAGGCATGTACTCCAAATGAATGAACGGTCGGTACCTCCTACCTCGAGAGACCGACGTGACTGCTCACACAACAGTGTACTCGGAATGACGACATCGCATTTGACAAACTTGGCCGACTCCAATCTAGATAGGAAGAGAACTGTCGGTGTCGGTGGCTGTCGACCACATGCTCCTAGTTTCGTCTCGGTCTGCCCTCCTCCCGGCTTCATCATCATCTGCCCCACTATCCATCATACCGAGTGCTTTCTGCCTCAAGTTCAGCACGACCATGAGATGCTCTGCACTCAGTCTTTCCTTTTTCCTGGCCGCCAAGATCTTTGCAGTCTTGATCGCGCTCTTGATCTGACGGCCATTGAAGTTGAGCTTTGCCAGTCTCTCCAGTTCAGCTTCTCCGACATCCACATCCTGCGCATCGATAGTAGCCAGGAAGTTGCGCCAGACTTGAAGGCGATCACTTTCTCCGAGCGAGCTGTAGCTCAGCGTGATATCGATCCGAGATTCGAAAGCCGTGTCGATACTGCGCATCCGATTCGTGGTCAGAATCATGATGCCCTTGTAGTATTCGAGTAGGCGAAGGAAGACTGAAACAAGCTCGTTGCGTTGAAGATTGTTCACAGTGCGCGCCTCCATGAACACATCAGCTTCGTCGAGAAGCAGGACAGCACCGAAATGTCCACACAGATTCAGCGCGTTCTCCAAACTATCCTCAACGGCACGCGCCGTCATTCCCAGATCACCAGCCCCGAGCTTATAGAGGGGGCGACGTAGGTGCTCAGAGACGGTCTCTGCGGTGAGTGTTTTACCCACGCCTCTTTTTGTTGGTGTCTAAAGTCAGTAAATGTCTCACAGACCGTGCGCACTGGGCTACTTACGGAGGGCCGCAAAGCAGCATAATCATGCCTTGGCCTTTGCCGACGACGAAGTCATCGAAGGGCTTCCCTTGCTTGAACTGATCGCGGTCTACCAGAGCCAAGACCAGATCCTTCTCGTCCTGATCGAGGACTAAGCTGTCGAAAGCATGCTCAGCCCAAGGTATCTCGTGAATTTTAGTCACATCTAGCTTCTCCCACTTCTTCTTCTCAATGTCAAAACACTTGACATAGTGCACAGCGAGAAGGCATTCGTCATCGGTCATTGGTGAAAGATCGAGTTCGATTGGCGATCCCGGGGTGCTTGGTATACTGGCGGAGTAACGCTCCATGGATTGGGCCCACGTTAGCTGTCCTATCTCAGACAGTTTAGCGTATTCTGGAAACGGGTTCGCGGGCTGGTATTTGTGGTATGCTCGTGCGTCAATGACCATCCGCTCGTTTACACGTTCTTCGTGTTGGTCGGTAAAGGCTTTGAAGAAATGGCCGCGTAGTTCTTCGAACCGGCGGCCTCGTTTAATGAGTCTTTCGCGGATACTTTCTTGATCAGGAAGATCTTCGAGAGGTGATACATCCAACGCAGTCAAGGCTCGTAAGCCCTGATACTGGAACACGTGTTTCGGTTGAGCAAGAAGACCGCATCGCCTTCCATCCCAGTCAACCACATCGACGCCTATCGACCAGAACATCTTTGGCGTTGGGGGAGGCATGCACGTAAGGTTACAATATCGAACAATCCCGACCGAGTCTGTCTTATGATCCAGAACCATCATGGCGGGAACAAGAACCAAGTTCAGGTCCTGGAACGCAACATGCCCGGTTGTCTTTACATCGCGGATCTTATCGAAAGACTCCTTGAGGAGGGGCTCGAGGACCTCCTGCAGTAGCTCAAGATGTTGCTCGGTCTCCGACTCTGGTTCGACATTATCCTTGAAGCTAAGCATCGCTTCCCATCGATGAATGAACGGAAGAAATGGCGGTGCGAACGACTTCATTTCATGCTGTGTCAAGCCTGGGTAACCTTCAAGTATCTTTTCCAGCGCAGCGTGAAGGAGCGTGCTGTTGATTCGTAGTTCATGGATTTTCCATTCATCCAGGACCTCATCAAAACGATGGTAGACGTTTACTGCGAAAGCTTCCCGTGCTTTCTTCGTGCGAAGTTTGTCTCCTGTAGCACCGTATACCGGCGGCTTCTCATCCACCCAGTGGTATCTGTTCGGATCCTCATCGGTCGGGACGCGGTATATGTCTCGGTAGTCGCAGCGCTTGCCCGTCTCGACGGCCTCCGTCAGGTCGTCTGCGGCGGGCAGCTGTTCACCTGGAAGGTACGCATGCGGAGCGAACCCAGGTGGCGGACCTAAGCTTGGATCCCAGGGGCCTTGATACATCATCTAAAGTGAATTAGTGGGTCACTGGGAGTTCAAGATGCAGCGGTGGTGTCTAACCATCTGTTGGTTCGGCACAGGCCTTGCCTCGCGTCGTGTACGTCGCGATCGTTGGCTACTGACATCGTGTTGCGGTGGTATAGGAGGATAACCGCACATCTTCTCAGTAGACGAGTGTGCAAAGAAGTGAACGTATGGATGCTCTGGCAAGGCTGAGCGTGGACAGGGGAGATTACAGTCGAGGAATCGCAAGTTCACAGTGCTGGAAACTGTCGGAACAGATGACAATGTTGAAGTAGTGATCCAAGTTGCAGAACCCGTCAAGCTTATGTCTTGAGCAGAGTCTGACGAGAGTGTCGCCGGATATATGGCTACTCGTTGATGGATGCCTGATGAGACCGGTGAACCTCAGGCTACACAACAGCCTCCCATACAATTGGCTAGAGACCGTAAGCAACGCCCCGCACCTCAACAAGATTTCAACAGGGCAATAAGAAGGCAACAAGATAGGGTGATACGAGGCTCGCGCGTGAGTGGATTCAAAGCACCTGATCGTACACTGCATCTGAGGTATGCCCAGCTCCACCACTGCCGCTTGTGTCACTATAGCTAGCACTAGCTCCCCCATTGAAGCCGCTGCCGTCAGTGCCCGCACACTCAGAAGAGCTGTGACTTCTAGGCGAGACACTCTCTGTTTTTCCACTCTCATTGTCATCCTTTGTGGAACTTGTAGAGCTCGGTTGTACGCTGCCTACTGAATCGTTGTTTCCGAAGCGCGTAGACTCGTGATGCGCAGAGGACGCAGAATCGTGTTGGATCAAATCTGGCCTCTCATCGTATCCTGTGCCATAATGCTGATGATGATCGATCTGAGCGAGAGGACCAAAGAGCAAGGCCCGAATCGCAGGATCGGTCACATCCTGGACCCTGGGTGTGTTCAAACCACGCGATCGGTATTTCGGCGGAAGAGGGATGGCAGTGTCTATTGGTTGCACAGGCTCGATGCTGGCGACTGGATTTGACTTGATGAGACGAAAGGGCGGCTTCTTGGGAGTCGATAAGCCCGCGGTGGCTTGCGAGGTTTCGTTGCCGACTGCCTGTGGTTCGCGTGCTCGCCGATTGCGCAGTGCGGAGAACTAATGACCGTCAGTGTATTGCAGTAGCCATTCGGTTTGATACTATACTATACAACACATTGTCGCTAAAGTCCACGGGGCGTTAGTGTAAGCTAGAAGTACAACAACAGTTGACGCGAAGTGAGGATACCGAAAGAGACTGATCGAAAGCGTAGAACAAACAGCAAGCGGGTTAGCCGGCTACGTTACGCATACATTGCTATACTTGCAGCAATGTTATGGCCTCGTTCCTGGCTCGTGATACTTGAGGAGCCGAAGCACAGCCTATCCGAGGTACCGTGGCTCCGCATGCCTGATACGGAACGATCACGACATTGGGAAATCGTAAAGTTTGGCTCTTTCGAGATGCCCAGGTGGTGTCGAGGTCGAGAACGTGTTCTTGTGAAGCGCACATGTTGCTATGTCGCGCAACACCTCATGACTTGTTCTGGGACAGCATGTCTTCCTCCGCTTCTT